AATGCGGCAAACATAGAAAGAGAAGAGCCTAAGACAGCAGGCAATCCAGCAAGATAGAGACGCCAACAGGAAGTAGTGGTTCCTAGGCTGACTGTTCTTTCCTCTCCACATCACAAAAAAATGGTCTGCTAAAGAGGACTTTTTTCAGTTACGTGCTGCAATAAAAAATACTCACTCAATCGGTTTCACTTTTGGCACAAGCTTATTTTCAGTGGGCAAGATTTGCAAGCCTCACAACTCCAATGGCGATCTGTTAGTCGCCAAAAGAAATTGGGCGACAGATCTTTTTTAATCGCCGAACCGCCATCACTGAACATCTCCTTTCAACTGTGTATTTAAAACAGATTACGATGTTAGGTGTATAGCTGGCAACCATCTAGAGCTGCAGCTAACGATTATTTTCAAAATCGATTAGTTAGCCGATTATTACGTTCGATTAAATCGGTTAATCGGATAAACAATAAAATAAAGTTTAAAAAATGGCTCCAGTGATGGGACTACTAGTTTGTATTGAGGTTGTAGTCCATCACAGGAGCAAGCTTGGAGCGGTGGAAGTAAAAAAGAAAAAAAAGATAGTGTGGTGTGCAATATAGTGAAATGGAAAGTGTAAAATTATACAGCAATGAATGCAGAATGGCACCGGCTATAGAGGACTACAAATCCCAGCAATAGTACATTATACAGTGGTGCACAGCAGAATAGCATGCGTGGATTCGAGCGGGTCTGGCAGCGGCGAGCATGAGGTGGGGAGGAGGTGCGGCGCACAGCGTGTGGAGCTGTGAACAGGGCCAACAGATCGGAAGCCGATTAAATCAATTTATAGAGAAGTTGACAACTTTTTCAATAATCGATTATAATCGATTATGTCGATTAGTTGTTGCAGCCCTACAACCATCACATTCACAATGTATTATCGCTGAATAAGCCAGAAACAATTTACCTCGAAAGGTCACCTATTCATTTGGCCGCTGCGTGTTTCGAGCTTAAGTAAATATCTATTTTAAGAAATCTGACAGCAAGAACATATTTTCAAACAAAAGCATGTCAAAGATGAGCTGCAAAATGGATGATTAGATAGCAGTTGTGCTGACTAGGCACCTGACCAAGAAAGGTCCACAAATCCCTAACGGCTGCCATGACCAGTGTGAGGTCACAGCAGGCACAATGTCTCCGTTCTGCTGGTTAGATTAAAGCAGGCTCTCCTATTAGTGGAGAATTGGTATTCCCTTCCCATGGAGGTGGTTTAACCAATGTGTAAGTCACGTTCCGTTGTGGCTTCACTGACCCATACAGCATTAGAGCAGGATGATGGCTGTGTGCAGACAAGAGTCACAGCATGAGCCATATTCACAAATCATGGCCGGGCTAATATTTTCATTAGACAGTGAAGGATCAATGCTACCTCTTTCTCCGGCCTTCTATTGACAAGTAACCGGGAAGCCATGCTGTGGAACCACCTGTGTCTCTAATCCGGGAGATACCGGACATGAACAATGCAATGCAAGCTGGCCGATAATTCCTCAAATCTAATGCAAGTACCTAACCGCTTTCCGAAAATCTGTCCGACAACAAGTGACTGAGCCAAACGCATTTTTCATCACATGGCTGACTACACGTTTTTGTTTTTTGTTCTATGCCTGCTAGTGAAAGGCGCATCACAGGAAAACCATTTGAAATCAAACCTGTAATAACAGAAACATTACACTGTCAATGTCTCTTTAAAATGCTAGCAGCGTGGATGTCATGCTAATCCTTTGGCTTCTATACTTTCTCATCCATTCACCCGGAACAAGTATGCAGACCAGAACGGTCTGAGAAACGACAGAAGTCCTTGTCTGCCGATTTGCTGCGAGTCGGTGACTCAATATATTAAAACAGAGGGTCAGCATGACAGTCAGGCACCTGCATTTCCAGAAAAAGAGGGCAGCGATGGCAGCCTGTATGTTTCTCTTAACAGATTTCCTTAAAGATCAGACACCTTAGATTTCCCAGCATGCTAGGTATTGCTTTTTCCATGTGCTCTGCGTTTTTGTTATGGCCAATGGAGGTGAAATAAAATATAGGTTGCTAAAGGGTGGAAACTTGTTGTCATACGCTAAAACACCCAAACATGCAAGTAACATGCAATTTCACGTACTCCCATTGAGGTCTATGGGGCTAAAAATGCTCCAACGGCCCTATCTTTTCCCAATTTGCAATGCGGCATAATGCATAGGTGTGAACAGAGAAAATAATGGGATTCCTTTTGTCATGCAATGTCACGCTACAGCTGATGTACATCAGACTGCACAGGTGTGAACGGGCCCTACAGAAAATAATGGGATTCCTTTTGTTGTGCATTGTCACGCTACAGCCGAAGCACATCAGATTTCGCAGTTGTGAACAGGCCCTACAGAAAATAATGGGATTCCTTTTGTTGTGCATTGTCACGCTACAGCCGAAGCACATCAGATTTCGCAGTTGTGAACAGGCCCTACAGAAAATAATGGGATTCCTTTAGTTGTGCATTGTCACGCTACAGCCAAAGCACATCAGACTGCACAGGTGTGAACAGGCCCTACAGAAAATAATGAGATTCCTTTTGTTGTGCATTGTCACGCTACAGCCGAAGCACATCAGACTGCACAGATGTAAACGGCCCTACAGAAAATAATGGGATTCTATTTGTTGTGCATTGTCACGCTACAGCCGAAGCACATCAGACTGCACAGGTGTAAACGGCCCTACAGAAAATGATAAGATTCTATTTGTTGTGCATTGTCACACTACAAATCAAATTGCACAAGTGTGAACCAGGACTAAGACAAATTTATTTCTTCCAAACATGGTGTTGATCGTCCTTTAGAATTGGTACATAACAGTGAAGCTAAAGTCTCAGTCAACCCAAGGGCCCATTCACACCAGACATTGCGCTAACTGCACAGCGTCTGGTGTGCGGTACCCCGACACAGTGCCGAAGCGCTGATCCCAGCATCACACTGTGTTCTTTTTTGCTTTTTTTTGGGTACAACTTTATTGAAATGTCACAAGTGACATTTCATTCAGCTCTACAGGCACAGCAGGGCAGTTGTACTACGTTACATCCCGGTGCACTGAAAAAAGTACAGCATGTCATACTTGCTTTAAGTGCAACCACCGCATTCCCATCGCAACGCAGTGGTTTGAACTGATTCCGTCCATGACAAGACAAATTGAAAATAATGGCCAGCGCAGCCCCAACGTATCTGGTGTGAATCGGCCCTAAAGGTCGGACGGAGTACAAGAAAATATTGAGCACAAGAAATCCAAATGTGTCTGCACGCTATATTGGATCAATCTGACATTAGTATCTGGTGCAAGAATTGTCCCATTCTCTGTTTTCCTCCTGCAATCAGGGAGCATGAACAGTAAAATCATATTGTTTGCCACGGGCAACAGGTACTCCGCAAATTCTTCCTTAAGAGCCATCAATGAGGCCCAATACATTCACTGCAGAAAAAATACTGGAGAAATCATGCACGTTACAATCCGATTGTACAATCTCCTTTAGATCTACCAACAACTATGTAGTGCCAGGGCCTGTCTGATTGGATGCAGATTGATTAGGTTGGTACTAGGGATGCACCGATACCGGTTTTTCGGTATCGAATAAGAGTACCGATATTGTTTTTTTTCGGTACTCGCCAGTACCGAATACTGAGTACCGGAAGTCCCATTCAGGAAGCCAGGCGGCGTGTCATGACTCGCCACCTGGCTTCCTGATTAGCAGGGAAGCCGGGCAGCGTGTAAAGACTTGCCACCTGGCTTCCCGATTGGCAGGGAAGCTGTCCCCATGCTTCTCGTCACTAGATGACAAGAGAGCATGGAGCCAGCTTTCTGGCCATCAGGAAGCCAAGTGCTGTGCAATGACACGGCGCCCGGCTTCCTGATTGGCTGGGAAGCCGGCTCCATTGTACCTCGTCATGGAGGTGACGAGGGAGCAGGAAGCCGGCTTCCCGGCCAATCAGGAAGCTGGCCAGTGCATCATTGCACGCTGCCCGGCTTCCTGATATCGGAAGTATCGTGCTAGGCATCGGAGCATTTGGGCGAATAGGAGTACTCGCACAAATACTCAGCATCGACACCGATACTAGTATGGGCGCATCCCTAGTTGGTACTCATATTAGTTTTGGTAAATCTAAAGTTGATTGTAATGTGTGTGGTGACTCTTAGACTCACCGTACACATTGCAATCTGACTGTACAAACTCTGTTTAATCAACTTTAGATCTACCAAAATGATGCAAAATGAGGCCCTACCTCATCTATCCAATCAGACATGATTCTTACTTGTTGGCAGATCTAAAAAGGAGATTATAAAATGAGATTGTAACATGTGTGTGATGAGCTTATGACTTCCTATACACGTTACAATCTCTGTTCAATCAACTCTAGATCTATCAAAAGTATGCAGTACGAGGCCCTACCTAACCTATCCAATCAGGCTCATCTCACTTGTTAAAATAAGATCAATCTTAAGCAGCATAAATGCTGGTTAATGTTGGTCGATCTAACAGAGATCATACAATCATATTGTAATGTGTATGGTGACCATCAGGGCTCATGCACACGGGCATAGAAGGAATGCAAGCACGGAATATCATGCGTACTTCACGCATCTTTGTAGACGCGTATATGAATGCATTTGGTCCGTATGCGTTTTTATGCATACAATTTTGTTCTGGCACTGTGTGCAATCCCTAAGCACCAGAACCTTCACATGCATTAAAAAAAAACGCACTTTGCCACCCCGGACGCAGCTCTGTTCCATTTTGTGCACATCTGTACACAATGCAAAAACACAACCCCAGACACAGCTGTGTGTATGGGGCCGTGCATCCGCAGACGTAAGTGTTGTACGCAGCGTTTAAACCCCCCCCATGTGAATGAGCCCTTAAAGGTAAAAAAAACACAAACTCAACACGTGTCACCGACAAAAGCAAGCCACCAGCCCTGGAGTAAGGCCTATATTACTCTTTTTACCTGGGTTCAGGCAGTATGATCTTCTTACTGGCCCTGGCTGCAGGAGTGGATTTACTCTTCTCCATTGCCATCAGGTAGCTGACATCAGCCAAAACCGCCTCTAGGTCCGCCATGGTGAAGTTGTAGGTCAAACGATCAACCCAGCCAAGAAACACAGGTCAAAATAAACAAAACAAAAACAAAAAAACACAGTATCCGTTTAAAAAAAATAAATAGGAAAAGTATATTAAATTAAAAAACAAAAAGTAACACTGCAATCCTGCGGAGTCTTGATGTGTGCGTGTGTGCAGGGATGGGGGCAATTCAAGTCTATGTGTTGATGGATTCCAAGGATGCTCCTGACTGAGGCCTGGTTCATGTATGTACAGGGGATGGGGAGAGAAGTGGGGGTTCAATGACTGATTTCAGGAATCGAGCTGTAAATCTCCACTTTAAGATGAGGGATCCCAATGTGTATTGACCAGGAGGGACAATCCAGCTATGACAGGCATCACCAGCAGCCCCAGCTAGCAGTAGGTGATCATTGAATGGATCTGTATTATTCAGGGCGAGCAGGATTCCCTTCAAGGAGTGGGCATGGTACTGGGGAAATCAGGCGCTTTTGCCAACACGATGCCCGTCGATCCCTGTCGCCAACATGTTGCAGGAGGAGATCTCCTCTCCGCTGTGCTGCAATGGCACTCACTACAATGTGCTTCCTTTTTTCCTCTCTCTCTCTTTAGCACCCTTCACATAAAATCATTGCCGCTCGCAGGGTGGAGGACAGAGCTCCGCAGAAAAAGCCTCCTTATTCCCAAGGATAACGAAGACTCGGGAATACATGGAGAACGGAATCCGGCGAGGAATCCGACGAGAAAATCCCAGGCAGGGAGCCGTGTAAACACTAGATCCGTTCCCCTATGCAGTCTTCAGGGACAGCTGTGTTCCCGCTTACATCCAAATCTCCAGCATATCCTTTCCAGATTGGCCTTTCTAGTGGGGTGAGCCAGCCATTCCCCCCTTCTCATGTGGAAGATCTTCCCTTTCTTCTGTGCTGACAGCCTCCTGCTCCTGTACAAGGCTGTATGAACATTACAGAGAAGCCGTGATGTCTGTTACTTCCTCTCCTGTGTGTGTGTGTGTGATAGCACACACAGCCACTGCTAAACTACGGCCCTGGATCTCTCCAGCCTGCCGGATCTGGAGCACAAAGCAAATAGTGACAGCTACACACGGCTGTGCTTAGTGGTTGCCATTTCTCATACATGCACTGGGCAATGCCATTAGTTTCATTTGTGAAGGTCAGTTCTGCGGACATGAGGGGGGGAAAAAAAGTGTCACACTGTAATATTTCATTAGGCTACGACTGCAACTAATTATTATTTTCATAATCGATTAGTTAGCTGATTATATTTTAAATTAATCAGATAAAAAAAATAAACAAATACTGGGGATGCACCGATACCGTATTTTTGGTATCGAGTATGAGTACCGATATTTATATTTCAGTACTCGCCGATACCGGTACTTCCGGGCAATCAGGAGGCCGGCAGCGTGTTATGAGGGCGGGCCTTTGGGGTGTTCGAGCAGTGCGGCCGCACAGGGTGCCATGGCAACAAGGGAGCCAGGCGGTCGACACAGCTCGTCCTCGGGGCAGCACAGCCTGCGGCTTCTCTCCTCCTCACCGTTTGGCCATCTGACATGACAGCGCTCCCTCCTCCACCCCACCCTTCCCCCCCTTCAGGGATGTCCACGGATCCCCGCTGCCTGTATGGGCTGAGGCACCGGGTGTCTGAGGAGAAACTGTCTGCTGAAGCCTGTGGGGGGGTCGGGGCGGCTTCTCTCCCCCTCACCGCTGGGCGCTGGCCATCCGATATGACAGCGCTCCCTCGTGCGCCCCCCCCCCTTCAGGGGTGGGGGGGCGCACGAGGGAGCGCTGCCTGCTGTCAGGATGGCAGAGCGGTAGGGAGGAGAGAAGCCTCAGCTTTCAGGACGACCGAGCGGTGAGAAAGGCGGAGCTGCTGTCATCCTGTCAGTTTCAGGATGACAGCAGCTCTGTGCGTGGCCGAGCAGCGAAGGATCGGTACATATCAGTGATATTTACCGATCCTCTGTGCAGAACAAACACGGGAGTGATCGGCTGATCACTCCAGTGTTTGTAAATAACTGGGGACACATAGTACTATGTGTCCCCAGTTATGAATGAACAGGATGTGATCTACATCACATCCTGTACATTCATTCATTTCTGAATTGGGAGTAGCACTCACTATAGAGGCTTCTCCCCATTCATAAACTGGTGATAGTAAATATTTTACCATCACCAGTGTCTGAATGAATGGGAAGCCTCTCTACTGAGTGCTTTCCATTCATTTAGAACAGAGGCTGCAGAAAAAGAAATTGAGGACTCTGTGTCCTCCATTTCTTTTTCTATTTTAAAAAAAATAATAAAAAATAATTTTAAAAAAGTGAACAAAAAGTTTTATTTATATCATAGTTTTTAATGTTTCTTTGGGGCTTAACAAAATGGAAGTCTTTAAATGGTGCGGATATTGGGGAAATTAGTGTGGCCACTGAAGGGGTGTGGTCACGGAGGGGTGTGGTCACTGAGGGGCACTGTAAAGCTTTCTCGCACAGGGCGCCTAAAGGCCTAAGGCCGGCCCTGCGTGTTATTACCCACTGCCTATAGGTTTGCCACCTGTCCAGGATTCGCCCGGACAGTCCGGGTTTTTAATGCTGTGTCCGGGTTTCATGGCAGCAGAAACCCGGGCACAAGATGTCAGGCAGACAGAGGCAACCAAAATTAGGATAGGGGCTACTGGCCCCCCACTGAAAATAGTCTCAACTGTGATATTTACATATGAATCGGTGGCACTATTTACATATGAACACGCCATGTCTCATTATCCCAAAAAAATGTCCTCGCGTTGCTAGAGTATTCGAGTCTTGCTTGAAATAAAGGTGGCAACCCTAACTGCCCTGCTTCTTGATTGCCCGGGAAGCTTGATCCATACTGTTTGGCCGGGAAGCCGGATTCCTAGCCAATCAGTATCAAGTCGGCTGTTTGGCAGGCTTGATGCTAATTGGCCAATCAGAAAGCCGGGAAGTGGGTCATTACCCACGGCCTGGTTTCCTGATTGGCCAGCAAGCCAGCTCCATGCTGTTTGGCCAGCTCAATGCTGATTGGCTGGGAAGCCAGCTTCCCAGCCGATCAGCATCGAGCCAGCCGAACCGCATGGAACCGGCCTCCCGGCCAATCAGAAAGCCAGGTCACGAGTCATTACCCGCAGGCCCGGCTTCCTGATTGCCCGGGAAGCCAGCTCCATATTCCCTTGGAGCACTGCCGGTCAGAGGAAATCTCCCTCTGTTCTCATTATTGATTATATGATTAGTTGGTTGCAGCCCTACATTAGACCGCCTTTAGCTTTGATTATGGCACTCATTCACCATAGCATACTTTTGACACAGTGACACCAAGCCAGTTTGTCACCCGGTGCGTACATCCATGTACGCATGACGTCATTAGCTAGCCAGCTGCATGCATGTTCCAGGTCAATAAAACTTATCCAGGATCATGATGATAGGCGTAGTGTCTGCACTCACAAATCAATATATTCTACCCTGAGGGGGTTACCTGTGACACCCAACTTTTATGTTGGATAGAGTTTTGAATACAGGAAGGAAAGCTTAGAGGCTGTGTCAGGTTTTTGTTAATCTAGGTTCCTATTGGGGAGCAGCGGTGTCACCAGGCCGGGTGTCACACGGTGCGGCCGCTGGGTGTCACCTGGCGTGTATGTCTTTACATGTATGCATAATACGTGTGGGTAATTATCTCAATGGCACTCCACTGCCAGCAGCTATGTTGGTGATGGACGCCGGCAAGGAGAGGAGGGGAAGTTCGTCCAGCAGTATAAGGTATCTCACCGGGTCCCCTCCTCTCTCATGCAGCTATCGTGCTCTTAGTCTACGACAGAGTGCCTAACTTTTCAGAGGGTGTGACACTAAAATGACTGTCATTGTTTTCGGTTACACTCCTACTGATGGTGTCACCCAGTGTGGGCCGCACCCCCCTTGTGACGCCACTGCTTTTGATAAGCTTATGCGATGTCACAACATTTATTTCCATCCAGAGTTGCATTCATTTTTCACCAAGATCTTGTAGTGATGAGGGGAGAGTCAGACCACTGCGTAAAGTCTTCTCCAGCACATCTCAAAGATTCTCAATGGGGTTGGCAATTCATTTTTTTAAGGTGCCACATGAGAAACTGGGACTGTTGTGGAGGGCCGAACCAAAAGGGCCTATTGGTCCATCCCTCCACAGCAGTCCCAGTTTCTCATATGATTAACGCACGGTACCGCACAACGCACCTACCTTGCATTATAGTGTGGCAGGTGTATTGCATTGCCATTCATTTGAATAGCACCCCAAACGCACGTCCTAGCTGCAATGTGATCGACCACAACGCACGGTGCCGGAATACCGAAAGTAGTGCATGCACTATATTTTTCAGTCGCACAGCAACACATGGTATTGCAGTACAGTGCGTTGTGGCACAGTCAATCATATTCAGGGGGGAGGTGTGTTTCGGTTGCCATTCAAATGAATGGCAATGTAACACACCTTCTGCACTGTTAACACGCAGTAAGTGTGTTACGCAGTACTGTGCATTAATCGCATAGTACATTGGAGGCCGGTGCATCCACTGTCAGACAGCCATAATTGCATGCAGGCCGGTGATCGGTCCGTCAAACGGCCACAAAGCAAGGGCCAGTTACGGCCCGCAGGTCATAGAATGTCCAGGTCAAGATTAAGGTCTGGACCCTGTTGTGGACAATCCATTTAAGAAAATGATGCCTCATGCTCCCTGAACCACTCTTTTACAATTTGAGCCAGGTGAATACTGGCATTGTCATCTTGGAATATGGCCGTGCCATCAGAGAAGAAAAATACAATGATGGATAAACCTGGTCATTCAGTATACTAGGTAGGCAGCTGACCTCATTTTGTGGGGACCTGACCAACTGAAGCAACCTCAGATCATAACGCTTATCCAGCGGAAGGCTCTTGCCCAGGGGTGGGCAACTCCGGCCTTCCAGCTGTTGTGGAACTACAAGTCCCACACGGCATTGCAAGACT